CCCCCCCCCCCCCCCCCCCCGCCCCGCTCCACCTCTCCCAGCAATACTGGCTCCATGCTACTGAAACCCGAGTCTGCTCATAAATAAAACTAAAGTAAATTTAAACAGCAGTTATAGGGTTGTAACACTCCATTCCTAATTTCCGCATAGTTCCAGGGTGGAAAGGGGTTGTCCCCACACCCCGTCCTCCTAGGATTCCATCCTGGATCCTGCTATGAAATGCTATCATCACATTCATACCACTCAGGAATACAGGCGTGTTTCAAAAGAGACTGAGACAGGAAAAGAGAATGATTTGACTTTTACAAAATCAAATCAAAAAAAAAAAACTCAGAACGTGGGCTCAAAAATCACAGGTCCCTTCTGCAATATTTGTTTCGTAGCCAAAAATATTCAAATTTTCAAGGAATGAAAACACTCAACGCGATTTGTGTTAAATAGTCTTCAATTCTTCGTAATCCCGTAAACACTGAATTATAAACAGTTCTGGGAGATGACGTGTTCAGAATCCATGAGTCATACTGGTTGGCGTATACATTTCATAACAGATTTTTGATCTCACCAAATAAATTTATATTTCTAATTTTAATATAAATTTCTGTAGTGAGTCCGGTCGCCGATGCTAGAATTCAGCGGGAGACGGAGGACACCGCCTTAACAGGTAGTGCGAGTGATCCTCCATTAGACATAGTGAGCTTGATGCTCGGTTTGGGAAGGCCTTTCGGGACTACCTACGCTGGGCTCAGCTCACTTATACCAGGGAGCCTATTAGGCGTCCCAACGGGACTGTATCCCGGGAGCTACTTCTGCTCGCTAATCCGTATGTGCAGCTCGCATGCAGTTCCATTGATGAGGCTAACGCCTCGGAGATGGGGCGGCTAAATGTATGCGTATATGCGGCAGGTAGAACTGTCGCACAGCTACAGGCCGAGAGGCAGCAAGTGGGCAGAGCAGCTGTACAGGATTGGTTCCGCAGGAACCGAGAACTGGGTGAGAAACTTTCCAATCGGATCTCAACATAAATTAACTTTTATCGATTTTCCCTGCCTTTTACTTTGATAATACTTTCAGCCTGTAAATCATCTTAACGTAGCCTAGAAGTGGCAACATTCAGAATGAGGTGATGATGCTGAGCACAAGTACACACATACACACACACACACACACACACACACACACACACACAAAAATACATCAAAGATATTTTGAAAGCGCTAAAGGCCAAGAAAATCATTGAGCTGGAAACCACTGGATCGCTAGCAGTGAGTGGCCATCTGGCAATACAGTACTAGTCAAAGCAACTAAAAAATCATCAGCTTCATAAATGGACAAGAAAACTGCAAATTACAGATTCCAAATGATGTGACTGAAAAAGTCCACGACCTCTTTTCATGTTTCAGACCGAAAACTGTCATAAGTTCAATTTTAATATTCCTCAATATGGTCACGAAGATAAATGCTCATTCTGGGTGTTTAGCGCGGTAACACAAACGAACTCGGAGATGTTGAGCAAAGATCGAAAAAGAAAAATCCCGACAAAACACACCACCTTTTACATTTTGCATTGGCACATTAACTATGTGCATAAATTGCGGCGGCTGCTGTCGTAACAAATATTACATAAAACATCGAACAGAAGAAAACTATCTGTAAGATAGAGTCAGTGGCGGGGCAGTTATGTGGAACCTTTCGATTCTATTTTCGTAATTTTGTAATAATCAAAAATCACTAAGTATTAAACCGATCTGCAGCAACCGAGTTTAGCCTGGAAGCCTAAATGGCGAAGGCACGGCAGCATGAAGGAACAGTATGAGAGAAGAAGATAAGAATGAGATAAGACGTTTCGGTTCATTAAGTCATAAAAAATCCCTCTTCAGGGACTTGCCCTCTGCCTTTTGCTATATAATAATTTTTTCTACAAACTATTCATTTAATCCTTGCTGGTTGCCCTTATCACTCTTTGCACTTGGTTAATTTTTCATGCTCTAGCTCCTTCCACTCCTTCCTCTTGAATCACCTCCTAAATTCTGCTCCTTACCATATTTTCCATGGAAACCGCAATACTTAGCCTAGGCAGTGGGAAATTATTTTTTTACAATTTAGTTATGTTAGCTAAAATTGCTAACACAACTATTCGCCCGCAGTCCCCCTCCCTTGCTCCTCCTGCTTCCCCACGAATTGTTTCGTCAATAAAGTGGCAAAAATTGTGCTCGGGCATACTGAGTACTCAAACCGGTTTTCAACTCGTTCCAACATGCAGCAGTCTCTGAAAGAAGTATCTAATGGCAGCAAAGTGCCAACTGGTTGCTGGAGCTTCTCCACATCTTCAAAACTTCAGAAAATGGAAAAAAGATCCAAAAAAAGTTCGCTCTCGAACTTGAACTTCAAATTTCAATATTGAAACCGTGAGAGGGGAACGTAAAATTTGCTACGCAGAGCACTTACTCACTTCGCAAGTCAAGGACCAACGCATCGCATTAATGTGTGGTTCTCACCGGAAACAAAAGTTGCCCGAACGATTTGTAAAAGAATGATATGGTGAAAAAAATCGAAAAATTTGGAAAAAAGTAAGAAAAAAAACTTAAAATTAAAAATACAAGCAGCGAATATTCCTGGCAAGGAGAGACTGGAAGAGACCGGGGGCCCATTCTTGGCCCATTTTAGCATTAAAGCCACATTTCGCAGCAATAATAACGGTGTCCC